TCAATTGAGTATATAGTACATGAAGCTAAGATAAACTTTGAGATCTTCAAAGCTAAAATGAGTATCTCTTGGAACTACACACACATGAAACGTTTAACCATTTCACAATTCTGTGAAATAAAACATTTCTGAGAGCGTTCTATCGTTAAGCTAGCTACTTGTTGTCCAAATAACGCATTCAGTTCTTTACTTTAGAAGTCACGAACATTAATATTGATCATTGATTTTTTTTCCTTTTCATTTTTTTAAGGAGATAACTTTGAAGATAATGGTATGTTTATTATGTGATCAACACGATCAATACTTTACATGTGCATTAATCCACTGATGAAAAAATGGATATTTTTGATTTTTTTTTTTCTATTTCAGATGACGATGGATCCATTCTTCCTCCTGACAACCGGCTACAAATAATCATAGTTAGCATCGTTGGTGCTCTACTATTTGCTGTTGCCTTGATACTGGTTTATGTTCTTATTTCGCGAAAACGGAAGCGGTCAAAACGTGATGTTGTCAGTGGTAAATGAGAAGATAATGCATTTCTTTACTTACGTCAGATTAATAAACTATTTCTGCGATTTCTGCGACATCAACTTGGATCGCAATGCATTTTTAGCGTCCAGGGGCAAATGGAGCTTTATAACGAAAATGAGGTCGATTGATATTAACAGCTCACCAAAAGAGAATACAACGAAGGAAATAAGACGACACATCATCGATCACATTTAACCATAAAAGAAAGACATACGCACGCATCTATATCTATATATATATATATTCCGTCACTATTGAACTTTTATTCTGCCCCCTGGCAAGATGGCTGCCGCATCATAATTGATTCGAACATTTTGAAAACTAACATAAAGAAGAAATGTCAAGCTAATTTTCCCTTWAAAATCCTTTTATATATTTATTATTACGATCTGAAACTCCAACTGTTTACTAATATCGAGGTCCCCTAATAATTTTTTTGTAATCATTTTGAAGCAACTGATAGATTCAAGGGATGGGGTCACCTGACCTGTTAGTGGAAATCACCTATTTTCAAACAATATTGCCCTTCACATCTAACTGATTTTCCTCTTTATCCCTTTCAGGCACACAGCAGCAAGACCGGGGGTAAGATCCAAAATAATCTCTTAAAGTCATATATCACATTAAAAAAAAAGATTGCTGTTGTTTGAGTGGCCGCATGGCTGATTGCTAATTTCTTGATTTGTTTGCTGATTGGTTCGTTGTTTGGTTAGTTGGTTAGTCGTTTGGTTGGTTAGTTTTTTTGTTTTTTGTTTGTTTTTGTTTTTGCTTTGTTTTGTTTTGTTTTGTTTTGCTTTTCTTTTTCTTCTTGTTTTGGTTATTTTTTTTTTTAGTGTTAATTAGGTGGTTAGTTGGTAGTATTGGTTTCGGTTAGGTTAAGTGGGCGTCAGTTGTTCGGTTAATCTTTTCTGTTTTAAGTCTCATATATCTTTTTTTTTATATATTATACTTAATGTTGCCATTTTTTTTATTTTTCATTTTCTTCAAATTCATGGATGTTGTGAAATACTAAGCGTTTTTTTTTAATTAGGGCAAATCAATGGGCCGAAGAGTGTCCGTATGGAGAACCAGTTGATGCAATACGAGTGAGAAGCGTAATTCACGCATCTGCAAGCAATGCTGATTATGCCACCGTGGAAGAGACTGGGTACAAACGGGTTACCACTTCTAAAACAGTACAACAGCCAACACGTGATGAGACATCCAGTTCCAAGAAAGTGAAATCTAACGTGGAACCCGTGTATGCTATAGTCAATAAAAACAAAAAGAAGGTTGGTTTGCATTATTTTCCAAGGAAATAATAAAATTAAAATGAATATGTCCGGATTATTTTGAATACACTATTTTCGAGTTCGTATATTATTACTGTTGTTATTGTTTCCTGAATACAGATTTATTTACTCCGGCATTTTTCCAGTGTTTTGAGGGACATTTGCAACATATTTATTGCATTAAAGTTCTTTTGCCTTCGAAATTTTGGACTGCTGGGCTCGTTGTTCTTCGTTAATTGAAAGAACTGGATTGTTCAGTATTTACTCGGGCTACCTGCAAGGTAGACCGAGTCTAGGTTTCGGTTTTCTATCTATCTATCTATCTATCTATC